CTAGCTGTTCTACTTTCATATTATCTCCTTTTATCTTATTGATATAGTATATTCCTATCTTTATACCTTCTCTCTCTCTGTTTCTAGTATATATATTATAGCTTATACTACTATCTGTATCTCTGTTCTCTCCTTCTCCTTCTTTTTGATTCTCTTCTCTTCTTTTTCTTTAGTTTTAATTTAATTCTGCTCTATTTTGTCCTTCAAGTTTTTCTTTTTAGTAGACAAGAGCTTCTATTAATTTAACTTTAGCTAATATTAGAAGCAATTTGAGGCTTCTAGTCCCTAATTGCTCTCACTAGTCAAAAACAAAATATTAACAAAATATCTTCAATTAATTAGTTAGGGTGATAGCAGGTTGATATTTTGTTAAATACAAATAGATTAATAGGAGGGGTAAAAAAGTGCAATATGCTGATGATCTGAGAGAAATAAGTTAAATATCTGAAAGTATCAGCTTTCATGAGTAATAAACAATAAAATATCAACTTGATGATATTTTAAAGATTATGAAAAAAATTTAAATAATATTTTGATGATATAGTAAAATTAAATAATGATTAATTATTCTGTTTTATATCATAAGCTGATATTTGTTTGCTACTTAGAAAAACATTTTGGCAAATAGTAATAATCTGCAAAATATCGTTTAAATGATAATTTGCTAATATTCGAGTAAACTCTATTGTTTTAGAATGATATTTTAGTAATATATAGCTGATAGTTTAAAGATTTAATTAGATTATATGAATATTAAATTTCTAAACTTATATAATCTTCTAATTATCACTAATTCGATAAAATGCTAATATTTTAGCTTTTTAATATACTAGGACAATAGATGTTTTTTATTGAGTAATATTAGGCTGATATTCTCATATATTTGAGAAATATTTTCATAATATTTAGTCGATTTTTACTAATATTTGTGTAATATTATCTCGATATTCTTCTAATATTTTAACATAGTTCCTTTATATTTATAATATTAGTATATCTATAGGCTGATATATTTAATATACTTATAATTAATTTAACATTATTATATCAGCTAACTAATCTGAGATATTCTTGAACTTATCTTTTCTTTATTTTCTAGCATTTTAATACTAATTAATTTATTACTTAATATATCAGTTTTCATAAATATTAATATCAGCAAACTGATATATAATATTATATATATAGTTGTTTGCTGATATTATTATACTTTTAGTTGATATTTTTGATATTTAAACTAATAGTTTATTTATTTTTATTTATTATAATATAAAAAAGAAAATACATATAATAATAATAATAATAATGATAATTTATATTATTAAATTTTTAATCTATCTCCTTTTTTTTGATGATTTTTCTGAGTCTCTTTTTCTTTTCTTCCCTTTTTCTTTCTTTTCATCTTCAACATTATCGTCTCTAAAATCATCGTCTTTTTTTCTTTTCTTCTCTTTTCCTTTCTTTTCTTCGCTTCTTCTTCTTCTTTAACATCATCGTCTCCAAAATCAATGTATTTTTCAAAATCTAATTCTTTACTTTCAGTATTAAGAAAACCTTCTGATAATTATGAACGATTTGATAATCATTCTCTAGAGCTTGTTGGTGAGGTCTTTGTTGTTGTTGTCTTTGTTTTTGTTGTTGTTGGTGCTATTGTTGCTATTGTTGTTGAGGCAGTTAGTACTGTTGTTGCAGTTGTTGTTGAGGTAGTTGCTACTGTTGTTGCTGTTGGCTTTGCAGCAGTTGTTGCTGTTGGCTTTGCAGTAGTTAGTACAGTTAATCTTCTGGCAGTTAGTAGTTTTTGGGTTGTTGGTGTTGGTTTGCTTACAGAAAGTATATTTTTGCCTAATTCACTGATTAATTTTTTAGTGCTAAATAATTCTTCTGGAGTTTTGCTCTTTCTTATATCTCTCCTCTTTCTTGTGTATAATGTTACTCTATCCTCATCGTCATCCTCATTCAGACTTCTTTTCCTTTTATCCACTCCTTTTTTTGAACCACCTATATCATCTTATTTTGCATCTTTTTTACTCTTTTTTTATTTTTTCTTCAGGTCTTTGTCTCCTGTATTATAGTCTGCATCAAAGGGCTTCTCCTTTATATTATATTTTTGATAGCCTCAGCAGATAATGCCCAATTTGAGCAATCTACTTGCAGAGTGCTTTCATAATCTATATGTCCTGTTTCATAATATCTTTCAATTAACTTCCTATTTTTAGGCTGCAGTTTTTTCACAAATAGATCAATCCGTTTGTGAAATAGCCTTTTTAACTAAATATATATTAGAATAATATTTTGTTAATATATACTGATACAATATAAATAATTATATACATATCAAGTTCTCAAAGTCATTGTTCCTAATATATAATAAAATTAGCTTACATTATAGATAATTCTAGCTAATTTTATTATATATTAGGGATGATGACTTTGAATAATATTTTCATACTTACATGCGATCCCTGCTACTATTTGTCTATTACAACTAATTTTTTGCTCTTCTTGTTCCTGCTATAATTGACCCACTTCTCTACTAAGTGGTATATATTTTCTTCTTAACTCATTATAAGTAACTTCAGATCTTCACGAGAATATCTTCTAATTTTTTCACTACCAGACTTTATTAAAAATAATAGTGTCTTGCACCTTCTTTTTCTTTTCTAGATTATTATTATTATTATTATTATTATTATTATTATTATTATTATTACAGTATTATTATTATTATTATTATTATTATTATTATTATTATTATTATTATTATTATTATTATCTTATCTCATTTATTTTACTATTACGCACCATTATGGTATGATTGTATTTTTTTAACACCTCATCTGTATTTATCTGCGCAGTCCATCTCTGCATCTTATAGTATTGCTTCAATATTTTTCTATTACACCACTATAATACTAATATCTCAGCAATTCCTTCTGTATCGATGGAATTAGATCTTTTCTTATACTGGTTGCTTAGGACGTCCAATTCTTATCTAAATCTGGTTTTTTATTTGATAGTTTTCCCTTTCTATCAAAATTTTTATTTCGTTCTATTAATAAAATAAAATAAAATAAAATAAATAAATAAAAAAAAAAAAAAAGTAAATCTAATATCTTATTCTTGTAAACTTAAAACATAAAAGTGATGAGAGAAAAACATAAAAAATTAAGAGTAAGCTTACTCAGAGATGAGCTGATTGGCTTGTTGTTAATGCTTTTGGCATTCGTCTTTTATCTTTTGAACTACGTGATTTATCAGAACTACTAGAACTACTTGATATTTCTGTCTCACTATTATTATCACTATCACTTTCAGAACTTGACAAGGTTTTATCCTTCTCCTTACCCTTACCCTTACTAAATATAGCAACTACTATCTTACTAATTGCTTTTGAGACTAGCTTAGAAGTTACTATAAAAATATGAATGTTAATAAAAATATTAGTATATCAGCTGATTATATCTTATATTTTTTAGACTTTTTGAACTTTTTTTCTCTTTTGCTTTTTTTTTGGTGCTTTTGCTACTTTTCGTGATCAGGAGATTCTTTTCTTTACCTATTTTTTTAATAAATTTAAACAAATTGAGAAAAGATTTTAATAAATTTAAAGATGATAGAGAATTTTATGAGGAAGATATTAACGAATTGAAGAAGTTTAAAAAATAACTTGATGAAAATTTGGATGGAATATATTTTTTCTTTTTATAATTTTGAAAATTATAGTTATATATATCTTATGGATTCCTAATTAAAATTTATTTTCATAATTAATACAATTTTATTATTTCTCTATTTATTATTAATTAAACAAAAGATTATATTAAATAATTTACCTTTCATTGAGAACGATATGCAAGCAAAAGTTTAATTATATGATTGTTTCTTATAGTTCTTCTGTATTCAAAATTAAAATTTTATTAGTTAAATAAAGATTATATTAAATACTTTACCTTTTATTGAGAATGATATGCATGCGATTGATCAACATTGTTCCTAATAGTTCTTCTGTACTCAAATTAAAATTTTATTAGTTAAATAATGATTATATTAAATACTTTACCTTTCGTTGAGGACGATATGCAAGCAAAAGTTTAATCACATGATTGTTTCTTATAGTTCTTCTGTACTCGAATTAAAATTTTATTAGTTAAATAATGATTATATTAAATATTTTACTATTTATTGAGGACAATATGCATGCGATTGATCAATATTGTTCCTAATAGTTCTTCTGTAATTGAATTAAAATTTTATTAGTTAAATAATGATTATATTAAATACTTTACCTTTTGTTGATAACAATATGCATACGATCGATCAACATTGTTCCTAATAGCAGGAATGAGAAAGGCAAAAAATTAGTTGTAATAGACAAATAGTAGCGGAGACCGTATATAAGTATGAATA